GAACAATTCATGGCCATAATGGTCTATTTCAAACCTACGAACACTCTAAGACAGAGACTGGTCCACCCAAAGGACAAAACACCGAGCCACAAACAAAGCAATGTGGTCTACTCCTTTCAGTGCAGTGAAGACTCCAGTGAACGCTACATTGGAGAAACTAAACAGACACTTCACAAGAGGATGAACCAACACAGACGAGAGAGCAACAGTGGACCTCAGTCTGCTGTACGTCTTCACTTAAAAGCCACGGGCCACTCATTTGAGGACAGCGAGGTACAGATTTTAGCCACAGAGAAGAATTGGTTTGAGAGGAGAGTGAAAGAAGACATTTTTGTTAAGAAAGAAAATCCTTCTCTAAGCAGAAATGGACTCAGACACCATCTATCTCCTATTTACAACTCTGTCCGTTGGTCCCAGACAGCACCCTCCCTGCACGCCACAACTGAACAAAGCCCAGAGTCACCGTGAACGCGACAAACAAACAAAGTCCCACTGACCCATCACACTGTTGTGTTTCCTTTTAAAGTCCAGTGCGGTTTATTTGTGAGAAAAAGTTTGAAAATAGACCATTTAATGACAGTGCGTCTTATAATCCAGAGCGCCTAATAGCCCGGAAAATGTGTTACATGTTTTAGGTTGATGTGTAATGGAGACACACTCAGGCACAGGCAGAACATGCGAACTCTGCACAGGAAAACCACACCTGCTCATGGATCTGCGGCACTGAGGAAAGAAGCAGCTCAAGCTACGAACTGTCAGCTGAAACCAGAAGGGCTTTTGTTATTATTTATTTTTAACTCTGCCAGTGGCTTTTAAAATGCTGTCTCAGGACATATGGTCTAAAACTGGGTATCAGATGGCATCTTTATTTATTCGTCGACACTAATTTAAGCTGTAAGAGCAGACATATTTTGCTTGTGTCTGCTATATTGTTATAATCAACGACAACCACGGATCATTAGGTTATAATTTGGACCTTTTAAATCGCAATAACTTAATCTAAAATAAAATAATAGTAGAAAGAAGTGCGCTGACTTCCACGTTGGAAAACTGCGATGCCCAGTGTGAGCCGGCGTCACCTTAAACATCATCGCAACAAAGAGCCATGAAATTGTTATAGTGTCCTATAGAGCAGAGCTTTTTTTTCATTTGTACCAAAATATTTATGCGTTGCTGCTAAATCCTACTTTTCTGCATCAGTAGGGATGTAAAAAATAACCGAAATACCGATAATATCATATCTTCAAAGTTCTCACAATATCATGGACCATCACAATATATTGAATTACAAGTCTTAAAGTGCTTAAATTAAGAGTTATGGTGCAACAATAGATTAAAAAAAAAGACAGAGAACTACATAGACCATGATCCTTTGCTCCATTTCAGTGCAGACTACAAGAAGAAATAACAGTTCTAAGCACTTTTAAGTCTTAAGACCTATTCGCACGAGATAAGTATAACCTGGGGACGTGTGGTCATTTGTAAATTACCGCCCCACGTCTGTGTTACTTGCTGCACGTTCACACAGGATGAGCGAAGTCCATAAACTACTCTGTTTTACCGATATTATGACCGGATATGTCGTAACATCGTAATATCCTGTCTCCCGTAGTGTTCTTCCAAGGCACCATACATCAGCTAAAATAGGAAGAGCAGTTAGTATAAAGGCAATTGGACCAAGACTAGACCAGTACTTGACCAGGACTGAACCAGGACTAAACCAGGTCTAAACAAGGACTGGATCAGGACTATACCAGGACTGGTACAGGACTGGACCCAGACTAATCCAGGACTGGTATAGAACTGAATCGAGACTAAACCAGGACTAAACCAGTGTCGATCTGGCGGGCCGAGTTGCGTGGATCCCTCCCCTCCCCCGGGTCTCAGTGTCGATCCCACGGGCACTAGATCGCCCCCGCCCCCCGATATGGAGGATATAGTCTAGCTCACAGGTTATATTATTTAATAATGGTTTTTCCTCTACCGTACGTTGCTGCTACACATGTCATCCAGGCCATCATCCTGCGAGAATTGTCTCTCTTCTTGGACCTCTTCCCGTTTCTGCAGATCGGTTTACATATAGTGCGATACGGGCCCACATCAGAATTTGCCCCTACAAAGCTCAAAACCGCTAAACAAAATATCTACCGCAGCCTCCATATTCAAGCGGGAAAGAGACAGAAAAGGCGCAATTACCACAACAAACACTGAGATGCAGATTCACATGGGACTAATATTATCACCGGACGTCTGCGTTTGGCGAAGTTTCGCTCAAACACGCACCAGTCACTCCAAATACAACTTCTGGTGAGTAAATGGTGACGGGAAACACTATAACATACTGTAAGTCCTGCCTAAAGTGATTTTCATTCTCTGACGGACTTTAGTTTTAGTTTTGATATGATCTCTGTAATCTTTTCTGCGGCTTTCGCGTGTTACAACTTTGAGAATCTTTGTTGTAAAGCGAAGCCTAAATGTCTTTTCTAATATCGTTTCTTTAGCTGGGTACAGATCGCGTTAGGAGGTCTCTGAGGTTTTCATAATCTCATATACGTCTCCGGCTTCATCTCACCTCCGTTTGTGATAGATCGTTCCACCTTCCCTTCATTTTTAACTGACATTCCTTATCGTATTTTCATGTGAGATTTCAGATAAGTGACGCCGCACCACATCTACGACTCGTCAAATCTTGTCTGAAAGCAAACGGGAGAAAGTGGATATGAAAAGAAAAGCAACCACTGAGACGGAATTCGGTGCCGTTTTCTACCTCCTGTTGTATCCGTCAATCACAATCTGCTAATCAGAGGCGAGTAAGAAGCTCAAAAAATACAACCAAATAATAATACTCAAATACAGTCCCTGACCAAAGTCTTGTCGCTTATCCATTTTGTAGAAACAAAAGCTTATAACCTGACTTTAAATGAATCGATTGGTTTTAGAAATGTCTCATATGAAAGCTAAAACCCTCCCAAATTATGCTGAATATACTAAAATAAATTTGCTTCACTGAAGAAAGATTGATCATTTAATGAACACAGAAAGGTCAGATTTTGGCAAGACAAAAGTTTTGTGGCCTTGTCATATGATGCACCCAATCCTAGATTACAGCCTCACCTGTGATCAGTTACTGATCAATCAATTAGTGGGTGTGTATAAAAAGACCCCAGCACACCAGACCTTCACATCAACTGCAACTTGACCTCTGACAACATGCCTAAGATCCACCCTGAGACCAAAGCGTTAATTATCAGTTGGTGACACCTTCAATGTGTCTCAGCGTCAAGTACAAAGAATAAGAAAAAGATCTGAAATGACTGGAGATGTTTTTGACAAGCCCAGGTCCAGCAGACGCCGCAAGACAACTGCTCGGGAGGACCGTTTGTTGATTGGAAAATCCAAGGCCCCTTTTCCACTGCAGCAGACTCCACCAGGCCTGGTCACCTCAAGTCCCTGTGTCAACCACAACAGTTTGTAGAATTCTGTCTGGAAATGGCCTCCATGGTCGAAATCAGTGCACAGAAACCAGCACTAAACAAAAGGCAATTAAAAAACCGTGTGGCATTTGCCAAGGCCCACAGCCTGTAAAAGGATGGACACTGGAAAAGTGGCAGAAGGTGGATTTCTCAGATGAATCCTCAGTTGAATTACATCACAGCCGCCGCAAATATTGCAGGAGACCTACTGGAGCCGCATGGATCCAAGATTCACCCAGAAAACAGTTAAGTTTGGTGGAGGAAAAATCCTGGTCTGTGGTTCCATCCAGTCTGGGGGTGTGCGAGACATTTGCAGGGTGGAAGGCAAATATCAATAACCTAAAATATCAAGAAGTATTAGCTCCTCTTACATTCCCAACCATAAAAGGGGTCAAATTTTGCAGCAGGATGGTGCTCCATCACATACTTCTATCTCTACATTAAAGTTTCAAGGGGAAGAAGATCAAGGTGCTCCAGGACTGACCAGCCCAGTCACCAGACATGAACATCACTGAGCAGGTCTGGGGTAGAATGAAAGAGGAAGCATGGAGGCAAAACCAAAGACTCTTGATGAACTCTGGGAGGCATGTAAGACGCTTTCTTTGCTATTCCTGATGACTTCATCAACAAATTGTATGAATCATTGTTGAACTGCATGGATGCGTCCTTCAAGCTCATGGAGTCATACAAGATATTAAATATGGATCTCACAGCACCACTACTTCATTCACTGACATTATGCAACATATTTGTGTATTTGAAGTAAATTATTTGTTCAATTTTCTGTAGGGGACAAAACTTTTGTCTTGCCAAAATCTGACCTTTCTGTGTTCATTAAATGATCAATCTTTCTTCAGTGAAGCAAATTTATTTTAGTATATTGAGCATAATTTGGGAGGGTTTTAGTTTTCATATGAGACATTTCTAAAACCAATCGATTAATTTAAAGTCAGGTTATAAGCTTTTGTTTCTACAAAATGGATAAGCGACAAGACTTTTGTCAGGGACTGTAGAAGTAAAGCGTCCAAGCAGCTCCTTCAGTTTTGATCAGATTTCTGGTGGACGCTGCCTTAAATCAGGATCCTAATGTGTGAACTACCTCAGTGCTCCCCGGTGTCACTTCTGAGCGACCCCGCCAACTCAAACTAAATCTACCTTTTAGTCCGCAATGAGGTTTTTTGTTTTCTTCATTGCAGTTTGAGTATCCTCTGCTTTTTGTCAGTGCCTCACAAGTTTCTCACTCACTCCAAACTTTCTTTCTGCTGCTCGATTACCATTTTCGGCTGCAGATTTCGCTACGTCAGAGTCCTGCACCTGGTCGGTTACCCGCGGGAACAGTCAAAAAGTTGCAGAAATGGGTGGGTTTTAACGTTCTGGAATTTTGCCAGCGGGTAGTAATTATACACGAGTGGGTCAGGGCTAAATCAGGACTAAATCAGGACTACACCAGGACTAATTTTGGACTTAGGAGAGAGAGAGAGAACCCCAAGCCCGTGGAGCAGGATGTCCCCAAAGTGTGATCGGGCAATGGCGGTGCTTATCTACGTGGGGCGAAGAGTTCTGCGCTGGTCCTTTCGCCTGCGGTCACTCGACGGAGTACGTATACGCACCCCTGGGCCCGTCCTGACAGTGAGTCCTGGTTCAGTTCTGGCTTAGTCCTGGTTTAGTCCTGTTTTTAGTCCTTAGTTCAGTCTTGGTTTAGTTCTCCTAGTTCAGTCCTGGAATCAGCCCTGGTTTAGTCCTGGGTCAGTCTTGGTTTAGTCCTGGTGCAGTCCTGGGTTTGTCTTGGTTTAGTCCTGGTTTAATCCTGTTTTAGTCCTAGTTCAGTCTTGGTTTAGTTCTCCTAGTTTAGTCCTGAAATCAGCCCTGGTTTAGTCCTGGGTCAGTCCTGGTTTAGTCCTGGGTCAGTCCTGGTTTAGTCCTGGGTTTGTCTTGGTTTATTTCTCCTAGTTCAGTCCTGGAATCAGTCTTGGTTTAGTCCTGAGTTAGTCCTGGTTTAATCCTGTTTTAGTCCTAGTTCAGTCTTGGTTTAGTTCTCCTAGTTTAGTCCTGAAATCAGCCCTGGTTTAGTCGTGGGTCAGTCCTGGTTTAGTCCTGGTTTAGTCCTGGGTTAGTCCTGGGTTTGTCTTGGTTTAGTTCTCCTAGTTCAGTCCTGGAATCAGTCTTGGTTTAGTCCTGGTTTAGTCCTGGGTTAGTCCTGGTGCAGTCCTGGTATAATCCTGGTTCAGTCCGTATCAATGTTTCTTCTGCTCAGTAAATAAAGCCTGTGAAGTGATGACAGTCGAGTCGCGTCTGTGAATTCGTGTTCGTACTGAAGAAAGTGTAACCGTTTCATTTCATTTCGTGATTGTAATTCTTGAAGTCGTAACTTTTCAATTCGTATTCTGATGGATGCTTCAGTTAGGATGCTTTTAATTTGTGTGTGATTTATCATGGGCACAGGCGGGTAACGGGTGGAATGTTAACGGGTCCGGGAGGGTTTAACTTTGATAAAATGACGGGTTAACTGGCGGTGTGTTGTACTCTGCGGGTACGGGCGGGAGCGGGTCTCCAAAAATGGACCAGTGCAGGACTTTTGAGCGGCTCTTTCTGCAGGAGACATGCACAGTAGCGTGAAGTGAAAGTGGTGCAGGAGTAACTGGAGCAGCAGATACTGACACACAAGACTAGAGCCACTTCAGTGTGAAAAAAAAATAAACATGTGAAATTATATATTTTAAGTCACAGGAAACACCCAAACCATGAAAAAAGTGCCACTTATAATCCAAAAAATACGGTAGTGTAATATAGGACCTTTAGTCTGTGGATAGAGTTACAGATGGGTCATAAATTATGTCTTAGCTTCATCATTCCTGTTCAGATCAGCTCTTTTATTTGGCTAGAATCTGTATTCAAATAGTTTTATGAAGTATTGGTCCAAGAAAATACTCAATAAGAGTAAAAAAGCATTTGGGAAACGTACAACTCAAGTAAGAGTGACCACCTGGACGTAACATCTGATTTGTGATTTCGGTGCGTGTCAGTACAAGAGTGTATTCTGTGAGCTCGTGCTTTTTCCCCAAAACCACCACGAGCCAAATCCAGCTCCCACGCTTTTTTCTCCCACCTGCCGCCATACTGGTTCTATTTGCTGATGTAAACAAATAAACTCCACAGGAAACATGTATTAGTTGCCCAAATATCAGAACTAAACCAGTTTTTAGGAAAATTTCATCTTTCCGGTGTCAGATTAATAACCATCTGTTCCATCTGTGTGTGAAAAGCCATTTAAAAAGAGTTTGATAGATCCAATATGGCCGACTGCCCTGATATCCGTGTGTGAGCTGCACTGACTCTGTGACGATCGCACATTATTTCGTGGATTACCTGATTTTTCCATTTTAAAAACAGATTTGGTTCAGTTTAAACAGTTTGCAGTGGTCCAAGGTTTTTCCTCGTTTACATTATGCATTCAGAGCATCCTAAATATTCACCAAGATGAGTTTATAAGAGCTTTTCACAACTTAGAGACCAGAGCATGCTAAGGTGCACTTCCTGATCAGTCAATACAAGGTTTACAACATATCTGTACTCGGACATGACACTAGGTCGTTTTCACACCACTAGTTTGATTATTTGGTCCGCACCAGGCAATAAAATTATTATTATGTAGCAAATACACTCCAGAGTGGTCCGCGTTCACACCGGCAAACGAGCCAAAATTGGTCCGATTGACGAGCCTCTGTTTCCAGGGAAAACAGCGATACCTCCAATTATCAACACCGATGTTCCCGAAACAGCAGCAGCCAACAGCAATGAAGAGGAGCACCGTACCCCACAGCCCCTCAGGACGGGACTGGGGTCTGGTTCTTGGTCTGGTCCTCTAGGCGCGTTGCTCAGGGAGGTCTGGAGGCGTCGTCCTCCATGTGCTGGTTCCAGACGGGCGCGAGCAAGACCAGTGCTTGATGGACTGGGTCTGAGAATTTCTGTGCCGTCGTCTGCGCGCTGGTTCTGTGCAGGGAAAGCGAGAAATGCGACGTGGACTACAGGTCCGGACGGGCTGCTCCGGTCCGCCGCGCTCAAGAACCGCGGCTGGTTCTGAGGTGGTGCAGCATCCGGACAGAAGCGTGAATCCAGTTTGGTTGGTTATATGTTGTTCTGAGCGTCCGTCCTCCGCATTTGGTTCTTCCCGGGGAAAGTTCTTCGCAGGTCGAGGTTCCTAGCATCACTCCCCGCTCCACATCATCTGAGCCCGAACTGAACCGGAGCTGCTCCCGCTGGGTCAGGACTCTGGTCTGGATCTAGTCTATTTCTCACACTAGGCTAAAAGCAGGGCATTTTTAAAGTTGACTCAATTGAATAGACTATTGACTATTGCCATAAAATTATTTGGTTAATTAATAGCTAAAATAACAAATGCTGGTTGCTACGGGAACACAAGGAACACCAGGACCTCTCTGAGCGTGCAGGTCCCGAACACACGTACGCACCCCCAATTTTGAGTCACTCTGGAGCCACACGTTCGCACATTGGTACTTGCTCAGTTCATTGTGTGTTACATTCTCTGTATTGGCCATTGTTCGCAAAATAATTCGGAAATGAACCGCGGCTGCGTCTAAAGAACAATCTGTTACTGCGCTGGAGTCGTACAGCGCGTCATTTCAGGCAGAAGAGATGCGTATCCCTCCCGTGATGCATCTAGAATAGTTTGTTTGGACCTGCTGTCTATGGTTTGGACCCGAGTTCGCATTCACACCAGAGGAACTGCACCAAAATGTTGTATTTGGTGCAGATTCAAGTGAACCGAGACCACCTCTTTTTTGAGGTCTTGATTTGGTTTGGGTCTGAGTCCGACTGACGCTTTCACACCAACGCAAACAAACCAAATTAAGAGCTTTTGGTTCAAATGGACCGTTTGGTGCGCACCAAATACTGTTGGTGTGAAAGCACCCTAACACATGGTAAAATCCGGTACAGATCCTTTAAAGATCACAATGGAACATATACGGATCAGTAGAGTATTTATAATCAGACCTTTACTCTTCTCTCCATCAGAACAAACCAGCTCTGATCCACTTTTTGTTTTTCCTCATTGAAAAATCAAGAGCCCATTGTTCTATTGGATTACACCTCTACGTCGCCATGGCAACGGGGCGGGTTCTCCTGTTGTTTTGTTCTATTGTCTTTTGTCCCATTGTGACCAAAGACGTCTTAATTAATCACCTTAATTAGAGCGCAGTGGGCACCGCGTCGTCATTGAACATCGTGAAGGTTGGTCTGATTCATTTATCAGACGAGATTCTGAAATGTTCCGGTCTGAATGAAATGAATAAATAAATAAATGATGTTTTTGAGGCAGGTGCTTGAGGACAGGTGCACTCCGTGCTGTAATTAGGCAGTTAACTCTGGTAAGAGGGCAACAGGGACCAGCTCTTCACTCACATCAGAAAATCAGAAGCACATCTGTGAATCTTTCATAATGCTGAGGACTTAAAGCCACAGCATGGAACTTTTTAGACAAAAATAGACTTTAAAAGCATCTTATTTTTATTTTTGTTGTGTTTATAGCTCTAACAATGCAAAAAAAACATAGATCCTCACGGTGAGCGGGCTTGCATCTCCACAAACTGGACTCGTATTTGGTCTGAAGGAGGGCCCCTCCTGCCTGTTTCCATGGAAACAGCAAATGGTACATGTTAAATAATTACATTTATATAGTGGTTTTCTACCGTCAAGACGCTCAAAGTGCTTTACATCAATGAACCACTCATTCACACACCGGTGTACACAGACACTGGGGGGGTTAAGTGTCTTGCCCAAGGACACATCATTCAGCATTCGGCTGAAATGCTTTGGGGTTCAGGTCTATTAAGACTCACCATAATCAATAAAAGCATTTTAACTGAGCGAGTGCCTTGATTTATTTAGTGTTTTTGTACATTTGTGAGGTCATGTTTAGGTTTATGCACAAACTGAACTATTCCAGACACATTATGCAACTTTTCTTGTTTAAAGTTTACCACCTGCTTGTTCCCATGGAGATGTTATTGCCTTGCCTGGAATTTTTCACAGTATGGCATTAAATAAAAGTTAACTCCCTGGTGACCGCCAGAAGGGATGAAATATTTTGTGTCTTGCTCAAGAACACACATTCAGCATTCATCTGTGGAAGCTGGAATCACATAGCTATCAACCTGTGGACCAGTAGCCTGATTCATCAGACGGTTTCACTTTGTCTGACCTCACAGCGTTAGGATTCAGTCCCTTGATGGTAGGCTTGTACTTTTTTTATTTAACCAATTTCTGCTATTTGGTCGTGATGTATGTAATGCACCGCTAACGGGGCTAACTGGTGTAAGAGAATTTAAGTAGTTTATCTTCCATGTGCATCTCAGTTTAACATTGACTCACAAAATCTATATTTACACCATGAACTTCCTTTGGCACCATTGGCACACCACTATCTAAATTGCGGCATATTGCTGTTGAACTGGAGTCTACTGGTCTTCATAGTCTCACCACACTTTTATAAACCTCCTCCTCTGAAAACATAGTCCTTCACGTCCCCCCGGGCTCGTATTATTGATGGTAAATAAACTTCTCCTGCGTAAGACTAAAGTTGGTCTCCAGCCTTTTACTTCCACCCTTTCTTGTACAGGCTGAAAACTTCTACAACAACTGGTATATTAAACTTTTCCCAAATCCCGTAGGAAAAGGGCAATAAGGTCTTTCCGCTTGATAAAATTCACCAAACATTCTCTTTGTTCCGGCTTTAAATCCTCGATCTCGGGAATCGTTGCCAACACAGAATATATGTCTCTCCGCTGATTGGCTGGTGCCTGAACTTGCACTTCCGGGGTTTTTGCAAACTGTCAAACTCATTTTGGTCCGGGGGCCGTATCCAACCTACTTTGATCCCAAAGAGGCTGGATCAGAAAACTCATGGCATATAAACCCTATAAATAACAATAAGTTCAAATATTGGTGCAGAGAAACACAAATCTATTACAAAAATCTTTTTTAATTGATGAACTCTTTGTTTTACTAAATATTATAATATTATAAACAACCAAGAAAAATTGCAGTTTCAACACAATGTTTTAACTTGTTTGCAAATAGGAATAATTAAATTTTTCTTGGAAAATCCTGCTCTCAGCTCCACTTTTCTCATTTTGGACATTTTTTCTGATGAGGGTGTCACGGTCAACAGTCAAAACGATCGTCCTTTAAGAGCGTTTGGAAAGAGACAAGTCTTCATTTGTGCTGCTCTGGTGGGAGGGGCCACGTACAGAGACGCTGGAGATGCTGCTGTGCTCAGTACTGCAGAAAATTATCAATGTTTTAATCGAAAATATAATAAAAATATTTTAGTAGAAAATCAGCCGAGGGCCAGATTAAAGGTCGTGGAGGGCCGTATTCAGCCCCCGGGCCGTATGTTTGACACCCCTGTACTATGTTCTCTTTTGAAATCATACTATGTTGACTTTTCACGTCCCCCGGGCTCGTATTATTGATGGTAAATAAACTTCTGCTGAGTAAGACTAAAGTTGGTCTCCAGCCTTTTACTTCCACCCTTTCATGTACAGGCTGAAAACTTCTACAACAACTAGTATATTAAACTTTTCCCAAATCCCGTAGGAAAAGGGCAATAAGGTCTTTCTGCTTGATAAAATTCACCAAACATTCTCTTCGTTCCGGTTTTAAATCCTCGATCTCGGGAATCGTTGCCAACACAGAATGTCTGTCTTTTTGCTGATTGGCTGGTGCCCAAACTCGCACTTCCGGGGTTTTTACGATCCATGTAGTGTAGTCCGATTCCTGACCTAATCCCTGGAAAGAAATGAAATTGAGCGGAGGCACTAGGTGGCATCAGTCCCACCAGTAAAGTGGCCACACCGGCTTGTAAAAGCCTGATCCCGTCAGATCTCAGAAGCTAAGCAGGCTGGGCTGGGTAGTACTTGGGGCAGGGACCAGGTGCCACAGAAAGCGAGGCCTGCCAATCTGCCCCAGGGCAGCTGTGGCTACAGTAGTAGTTTACCTCCACTGAGTGTGGAATGACTGAATAATGAACTGTGAAGCGCTTTGGGTATCTTGAAAGGCGCTATATAACTGCAATCAATCAATCAGTCTCGCTACAGGACCAGTAGATCTGACCACACGACCGATGATGAGGTTCATGTCAAGAGCGGAACTCAAACCACCAACCTTCAGATCAGTGGACAAACACTCACAGAACTACAGTCACCAAATGTTCATTTAGAATCCACAGTAAAACATTTATAAAGATTAAAGAATAGAATAAAACAACCTCTGCTGCCAAAAATGTGTTCAGAAATGTGGTTAATGTAGTTAGAAAAAGTTACATAGTACATCTTTAAATACATTTGCTGTCTATTCTGTTATTTATACACTTCGCCCGGGCTGCTTTAGTAACATTCGCCATAAAATTCACCCATAGAAAGTTTTGCAGATTTGTGTACGTTGGTCGTGTCCCCGGTGGTCGGGCCGTGCCAGTGCTCTCGGCTGTTAGCGTCTGTTAGCGCCTGTTAGCATATGTCAGTTTACAGCCTGTGCATATGGCCGCCGCACTTATTTACCCAAACATCTCCTCTGTTATAACTCCACAACCTGTGGAGTGAATATTCAGTACGGTTTAAAGCACCGGGGGCTTATACGAGCTCATTTAATCACACTTTTTATTTGCAATATGAGAAAACATGTTTACATCATCAACTTCCTGCGAACGCACAACAGAAGTGAGAGAGAGGGACTTATATGGACCTAAATGAAGAAAATAAAAGCTGGCGAAGCTGCAGCGGAACAGTCAGCCTCCTCAGACCTCACTCTAGTCGACCCGTGAGTCCAGTGTGAGAGGTTTTGTTGTGATGTGACACTCAGACCATTTAATCCCACAAAACTATTCATGAATTAAAGGAAAGGCTGCAGGGCGAAAAAACAAACAAACAAAAAAAAACCTACCGTATTTTTCGTACTATAAGTGGCACTTTTTTCATGGTTTGGGTGTTTCCTGCGACTTATACTGAAGCGTCGAGAGGTTCTAGTCTTGTGTGTCAGTATCTGCTGCTCCTGTTCCTCCTGTACCACTGTCACTTCACTCTTT